TGAAACGGTGATGGTGGCATCGCCCGCTACTAGCAGAGTTGCTAGGACTGTATAACCGTCTCCAAATTTACTTCAGAGGCGAAATCAAGAAAACTGAGTGCTCCAACAAGAGAGATACGGTGGACAAACAAGGACTAAATTAAGCTTCTGACACAACTTGTCATCTCAGCGATTTCTGAACATATATTCCATGTCAGGAAAACTGCCAGTTTAATTAAAAACGGTTCCAATAAATCATTAAAACCCCAAATCAATATGACTCTTTATGCTGATGAAGAGTGTTTGTGAATTTCGGATCACAGCTGCACAAGGATCAACACTTATTTTTATCCCGAAGTGTGGGAAAAACAACACGGCACAGCTTTTCTGTGGTTTATTTTTCTGACATTTTTTTTTTACTCCGTATTTGTGACTGATGCCACGGAGATGACAGGCTGTCAGCCTTGTAACCACCGACGAGGATTACAAACAAGCATGGTTGACGCTCTGATGACAGGATGGGATTTCCATTAATTTCATGCTTTAGGTTCTCACATTTGTACAGTAAAGTACATCCTAATTTGACTGCTGAACAAACACAACATGTGTCCTGTATCAAGACATGGAAATCTTTCATGTTTTATCAAAGTCTGGATCATGGATTTCCTGCCGCACGGAAAATCAAGCGACACCGACCGTACAACTGTAAACGGCGACTATAAAATGGGATTTCTTATCCTTTATACAACACTGTGGCTCTTATCCTTCCTTTAAAGCTGCAGTATGAACTTTTTATTTAAAAATTTTTTTAAAATGCTTTTTATGTATTTATTATATCTCAAAATGTGACGGTGAGAAAAAAAATTCTGATCCTCCTCCCTGATATACTTCTGCCATTTTAATAAATGCTTCACTCCCCGTCAAAATCAACCAGTCAGAGCCAGGAGGAGGGTCATAACGATGTCAATCGGGCTTCTGTATGCGCTGCTAAATGAAGTCATCGTCCCAGGAAAGCTTTTTATCCGGTCATTGGTGGCAGTGCTAATTAGCCATAGCATTCACTGCAAATCCCCATAGCATAGCAGAGAGCAAGGTTGACAGTGTGTGTGAGCAGCCTGTACACAAGCAAGATTGACAGCGCTTTGACCCTCCTCCTGGATCCAATTGGTTGTTTTCAGTTGGCGCTGAGAGAAGCCAGATGAAGTCAAATCTTACAGATGTCCCATATTATTCTGTTGTGAAATCGCAACAGTTTAAACAAATATGTAAAAAAAGAAAAAATAATCAAAGTTAGATGCTGCAGCTTCAGCGGCTGCACAGTCACTTTGACTTGGCAGAGATTAGAGAAATTTTAATTAGAAAAGCTGTTCAAGTCTCTTGTTTGACTCGCTTATAAATTACTTTTGGAAAGGTGAATAAAACCTTGGCAAGGATAGAAAAATCGATTAGGAGAGGTGTTCGTTTAATTGCCCAACAAAGATACACTGAAACGAGAAGGATTAAATTAGCGTCGGCTTTGATTCAGTCGTGTGACATCTCGTGCTCCTTCTCTTCCCTTCAACTGGAGTGTTGTTGCAACTTGCACAGGAAGCACGTGCCTCTCTGTCCCTCCAGAGCCTAAACGCCATTCGAAGAGCGGCGCCAACCTGGCAACGCAGCGCCACGCGGCATCCCTGGCGTTCCACACATTTGCCCTCAGAGGGCACACTGCGAGCACCCACACGTGCTACAGTGAGTAATTATTCCCTGGAAAGAGAAAAAAAAAAGACCCTCTGATCACGACGACGCCGATTGCGCAAGGCCTTTATTACGGCATGGCCCAGTCTGGCTCGTGATTACACACAGGCTGTCCTACGAAATGACTCAGCCTTCGATGAATCCTTGCTGTTAAACTTGCTCGTTACGTTTCGTCGGGGCGTTTTGTCTGATATCTGAATCATCTTGTATCAAATCTGTGACTTCCGAGCATTGTCTGTTCGTTTAGTGCCGCCTTAATGAGGGACGCAATGTGATTTTAATAGGCCCGCTGTGGTCCGCTGGGAAGGCGGCGGAGCGTTAGTTCTGTTTGAGCGCATAATTTAGCCGAGCGAGGGGAAGAGCGGCGACGGCCGTCAAAGTTCGGCCTGGCGGAGTGAACGAGCCGGCATGTCGGCCCCTCGGTGTCTGGAATACGTTGACCTTTTCCTTATTTGTTCTGTGCGTGTCCTCGCTTTGTTCCGCCGTGAAATGAGAGGAAGCCTTCGCCGCCGCGAGGCCACAGCCACGCTTACGCCGGGCTCACTCGGCATTCTGGCACCTGCATATTAGCCTTCACTCGAAATGAGAAAAAACGAGGCGGGAGAGGAGGAACTTCAAGAGGTGCTTTGGCTCGGCTAACAGCTATTTCTTGTCTCCCTGTCTTAATCTATCTTTCTTTTCGTTCCCCCCCCCCCCCCGTGCTCTTCATCTCCACCGGTTTAAAGCCCAGTACCTCGGGCGCTGCAATTATTGGCACGGTAAAAGATGAAAGGTCACAATTGTTAGCAAAGGAAGTGACAGAAAGAGGAGGTGGAACCTTCTAACTTTGAGCTGTGTCAAGCGGCACGGCACAGAGGAGGATAATAGAGACGTAATGGCTGTCAGAGAACTTATTATCCATGCAAAGCATTGATAAATGTCTAGAGTGGATGTTGCCCCAACGTGTAAGCCTTTAATTAGTAAAGAGACTCCAGATATCATAAATATTTAAGTTCTATTGAGTATCAGTTCCTAAAAGATTGAGGGCATCATTGAATTTGTCTTTATCCCACATCACAGATCCTCTTCGTGGCCAACAGCAACGGCATTTACATTATAAACGTCCGCAGTGTTGTCAAAATAAGACACTGTTGCAATTGCTTCGTTTCTATGAAAATCTCATGAAGAAACTTTTTCACATGCTGGGTCATTGAAAAAACATGCCGCGCCTTGATCCTCTACTTCCTGTCGTCGTCTTCTTCGTGGTTTGTGCCAGTACTGAAAGAAAGTGTCTCCACTGTAGCTTTGTGAAATAAACCAATTTCAGTACAGCTGAAGAACCTTCTCATCCTATAGCGCCAAAACTTTTTTAGCAAAAATATGTTTTTTTCCCCCCAAAATTAACATTTTTTCCATTAAGTGAAATGTTGACTTGTGCAATTATTTGGTCAGTGGAAAAACAAATTTACGAGGCGATTTTTGACATTTTTGAAAAACAAATTTACGAGGCGATACAAAAGGTTGAGTTCATGTGCAAACTGGGACATTTCTGAACGAGGACGTTTGAGTGTCCCAACAGCAGCGTTGTGCTGCAGCTGGTCACTGCAGTGGAGTGGATCCAAAGAGCAGGAGTTTCTTTGCTTTCCAGGAATCTGACAAGATCTCCTTAAAGCTCCGCCATTTTTATTAGCAATCGTGGTCATCCATCTGTTAACTAATACACTTAGTTGATGGACTTAGTTATGCCTGCCCATAGTGGTCACTGGACGGGTTGTCAGTCCATTGCATGGGAACGCATGCACCACATTATTATGCAAGTGATATTTTCTCAAATGGTCAGTATAATTCGCGAGTCATGAACTATTACAGTATAAATCAAATAAATGAGGCACCAGCAGCTTCCAATAAGTTTCGGGCCCGGCTCTCATGTTGAGTGGCTGTGGACAGCCTGGCTAGTCGGGTCCAGTCTGTCCACAAAGTGTGTGATAGGCTGTACCTGTGGGCACTTCCTGTGCAGTGACCTTGACCTGAAGACTCTTCCCCGGCTCGGCTGGGCGGCGCAGCCTGAACCAACGCCGTTGCTGCTGGTCAGAGGTCAGGCACGTCGGCTGTAAAGAGGTGTCGGCTTCAGCTACAAAAGAAAAAGGTTCTCCTGGAAAAACCTAATCTTTCCTTTAGTATTAATTGTCCTTTGAGTCGTTGACTTTTCATTTATACGTATAGATTTGAGTGAAAACTGACTCAGGGTAAAGTTAGGTGGATGTGAAATAGAAACTGGTGTTGATCTGGTTTCAAATCAACTCACTCCCATCATTTGTGTCAATGGGTGAATATGAAGTTTTAAAAATCTCCACTTGGCAAAAGAAAATCTGTTTTTACTTTCCAAAGGAAGCTCTGCCAAATTTACGGGATTGTGTGGGCGCGGTCTTTATAAGATTTACTAGAGATCCACAGAGACTTTGAAACCAATCAAAGAAAAGATTCCAGACCTGCTGAAATAATTTTTCTTTTTTTCTTTCCAGAACTAAAAATAACATCAAAATATTTTTCTACCTTCTGGAAATCAAACATGCTTGGTTGTACATCTTTTTTAAACAAAACAACAGCTGGGGCCATGTGATATATGATTGTACGTTTCACTTTCTCTTCACTTAAAGCAGCTTGAATGGTCTTGTCGCTGAAATGTATCACACTAGTAGAATCGATCGATTGTTATGTCTTTATTCGCTAAATCGTTTGTTTGTTTGTCAAGCAGCCAAGTTGAATAACCATCTGAATCAACACACCGTCACATTTTAAGCATTCACCAAGCTGATGGGTCTGAAAAAATACAAAAGTTAAATCATCCGCCATTTGCAGACGCTTTCCCTTTTTGTTGTGCGAATTAAATTTATATCTGAATGTAGATTTGGTTATGAAAAGGGATGTCAGGCACCCTGACAGATCCACGTTTGCATATGCATGGCTTCTTGCATGGTCTGCTTCAGCCTCCTGCAGCCTGATTAAAACTGCGACATGATTGAAACTTGTATAAATTGGTGGCGACTGTTTTGCTCCCGCCTCTGTTTCGTGACGACTGTACTTAAGCTGTTTTGTTTTTCTGTGTTTGAACCTCGTTTTTCTTCCTTTTTATTCCAAACAAAATCCTAACTGGGGCGTTACAAACAAGAAGCTCAGGCTACAAAATGTTAAAAGTTGACAGGGTCACTCATCACGCTAATGTCATGTTGGATGCGACTCGCTCAACCCACATGCAGAACACAGACAAGAGAGGGAGGAATCGGATAAATACAAACGTATTTTATGACAGGACAGTTGATGAGGTTTGAGTTATGTCTCTTACTGGATCCGGATCATCTGTGATCTGAGGGCTGGGGAGAGACGAGAGGTAAGTGGATAGTGAGAACAGGTGAAATGAGAACTGGAACGGGCTTACTGGTTGAGATGAAGAGAATCCGCCAGGGTGGGATGCTGGAGCCGGGGTCTTTGCGCTAGAGGAGGGTGCAGTCTGGGTTTAGAGGGCCGAAGGAATCAGGGGTGACTGATCTCACATCGGAGGGCGGGCGGGAAGTCAGGCCGTCAGAGGGGCCAGAAGCGGATCTTCTCCAGATGCTGTGCCGCAAAATCAACAACAGAGGATCCTAGGTTTTGATCTGAGGTCAGTGGGCAAACTCGATGAGAGGAAACCCGGGAGAGGTCAGAGAAGACAACAAAAACTGGAATCAGCGGGGAACACAGTGAACAAATTCGCAGATAAATAGGCTCAGAGTACCAAAATCGGTAAACACTCAGGCGCTGGAGAACCGACCACCCGCTCCTCGGCGACAGTTTGTGGACTATTTTTGGATTCTCCGGCGTTTTATCCCCATCATTTTGCTTTCTGATTTAAAAGGCTCCGTTCTCTTTAGGTCCTTGTGAAACACCCCAGATTGCGTGATCTCATCCCAAGACAATCCAACACGTTGAGTATCCCCAATTTGAGATCGGAGCGGTTCAGGTTCACTCTCAGTGCAACAAACATGGCAGGAGAATCTCATTAGATGATCTTTAGAGCCTCCACAACAATCAAAGTGTACCTGAGGTACCAGTGTAAATCAAGCTTACTTGATCCCCGCTACAAGAAAAACCGACCATCTCAGAGATGGGAGGGTAAAATGACAAATTAAGAAATTAAGGATCTGGCAGAAACACTGTACAGCAACAGGATGATGACGATGTTGTGGAGGGAAGACGAGATGGAATTCAAGGTCAGCGGCACTGCAGGTCCGTCATGCCCCGGGCCTTTCTATTAAAGGCTCAAACAGCTGCTGGATTTTCCTCACGACAACCAAGGAATGGGATTAATGCAACGTGCAGCAACGTTTCCATCGTCATTATCAAGCGTCCGAAGGGAAATGCTCTCACTGCTCAGGTCATCACGACATCCTCTTACAGAGGGAACACTTTGTAACAAAACCGCACATTTCATCGATGTAGTCAAGATTTTTATCTATTGTATTACTTTGTTAGTGCGTGATCATCCATTTTGGTCCCAGACCAGAGTATTGTTGGTCGTTAAATTACTGGTCGCACAGCGGCCGTCAACGCGCCCCTCTGGAAGTGATTAAGATTCATTTCAAAACCTTTCAGACAGTTTTGGAGCACGGAGGTTTCCTCCCGGTAAGTCTCTGAATTATTACCGAGACAGGGAACTTTTTAAAGCTGATCCCAGAAGCGATGGACGGGGGCTGAAATTGCTCGCTAACGAGAAACTTGCAAAAACCTCCACCAACCTGGAGGCACGCTCCTGTCCCAGAGAACCGCTCTGGTCATAAATAAAAATACGGTGAGAATTGTGTTTTCTTTTCACAGGGAAACAGCGCGTCCGTTGGAAATGCGAAGCGAGTTCTTGGCCGTCTTCCAAGAGAAGGCGGTCTGCAGGCCGTGCCGGAAAACCGCAGAGACCCAACTGGATTTGATTTCAAGGTTAGCACCGTCTCTTTCCTCCTCTTTATTTCTTTAACTCATATTACTCTGCCGCTGTTGTCTGTCTGAGCGGCTTGACGGGATCCTTATCTGAATTCAAAATCTGGGACATGGGCTGTCAAAAGAAAAAAGAAAATCAAGGCTCCAATTTCTTCAAATTATGATAATCTTGTAAATGTTAACAGATGCTCATTTTTCAGCTACCCTTATCAGCTGGACCTTCAACAGCCTGAAGTATCAAATCACTCGCTGGAGTCACGTTTCACGTCTTTTGTCGTAAAAGCTTTGAAGTACTGAAGAACATCTTAATGACAATTTGGATCTTAATGGAAGCACTTGAAATGAATCTTTCAACAAAAAAAAAATACAGGCCACCCACTCAGCATAATAAAGAGGTTTTGGAAGGTTAATTAATAATTATGGTTCACCTAAAACTATGAATTATTCTTACACATACGCTGCCTTGTAAAAGCATTCAGACTTTAAATTTTGTGATAAAAACTGAAATGTGGTTTTTAATTGGTATGCCAATACTGTGTACAACCTTTTGCTTAAGCCACAAGGCTAGAATTGAAGCCGGTTCTTTGCAATATGGCTCTCGCTCTGTTAAAATGTAAAGATGGGCCTGGACTTTGACTGGGCCATCCAAATACACTTGCTTAGATCTGGCGGTTCTGAAGCTGCCTTCAATGGCGCTTGGAAGAAAGTTTGGTGAAAATGAAGTAAAGCAGACTAAATATTTGTAGTTGAACTGGGATTTGGAGCTACAAAAAGGGGCTGTGTGATGTAACATCGACTTTTTGAGCTTTAAATCGTGCAATTATGTTATTCCCTCGTCAAAAACATACCTTACCTGGAGTGTTGTTTCGATTCTTTCGTGCATGTTTGGGAAATACTGTAATCTCCCGTGGCAACCTTTCAGCTGTGCAAAACACCTGGATGGACGTAGCTCCGCCTTCGAGCCCCCCCTCATCTCCTTCAGACTAGCCAGCAGCAATTAAACACCAGGTGGAACTGCACATCACAGCCCAACGATTATGAATAAATTATGTCTCCAAAAAAGTCCAACAAAAGCCTCCAAACATCTTCAAACTCCTCTGCTTATGATTTGACAGTGTAGGTTAGCTTTTCCTACAAACTAAAGTCTGGCTGCAGGTTTTGGGTGATTGTTCTTCAGCCTCCTGCAGTTTCTAACAGGTTTTCATCCAGGTCATGTTCCAGCTCCTTCCTGAAGAGAAGAATCCCTCCATCATTTTGCCACCACAACGTGGTGATGCACCGTTTAGGACGACATGCACTGTTTGAATTAGCTCAGAGTAATTATGGCTTTCTCACAACTCTTTTGTAAATTTGGGATTGTCACCATTGACCTCTTGGTCCCACAACTTCCTCCCGCATGCTGTGTTCCTTGGTCTCCATGATGCTGGTTTTTTTTTCCCCCATTAACAATCTACCAAATTTGAGGCTTTCACAAAACAGCTGGATTGGTAATGGGCATAAACTGCCCAAAGTCGTTCTCTGAATACAAATGCACTCCACACTTTTTCACTTTGAAAGCCACGCATTTTTCCCCCCTCCAGCTCACTTTGTATCGGTCCATCGCATTCAAGTTTCTGATTGGCAAAGTGTGAAAAGTTTAAGGAGTGCGAATACTTTCGCGAGGCGCGACATGTTTCTGTGCACTCAAAGACGGCCCCGCGAAGAGGTTTGATCAGTCATTCAGTTCACCTGCGTTCCTGGGAGCTCAACAACAGGGACGTAAAAGCTGCTTCACTGAGGGTCCCGTGAAATACGTGGTTCTCAGCCCCTGCGGCAGCAGCGTGGCCAGACTCGTGCCGAAGTTGAGCGGGAAACGAGCTCATGTCAGGCGATCGAGCTGAACGAAACAACAACTGTAAACTGGCTGAAGACTCATTATCGAAATCAGATTATTAGCAAAACAACTGCAAAAGTTTGATCCCCAAACTTTTAAGATTTACTATTGTTCCTTTTCATGATTAACATATTATCCTTCTGTGATCAAATCAAAAGAAATATTTGAATAAGACCCTCTGATGTCTCAGAGACATTTTACAATTTTCCCACTCTTTTGATCAGGAAAATGATTGCTCCTTCCAGTTAGACTTTAATTTTCACTATAAAAACATTGGTGCTTTCTTCCCCTTCTTCTTCTATGCCTTTGATAAAGTTCAAAGAAAAATAATAGAATTAAGTTAGCAAAAATATAATAAGAAATAACCGTCACATATTGGCATTTGGGGCTGGAGGATGGAGAGTTTTGACAGCTATGGCAACATAACATGTAATTATGTTAAGCGACAAAATAAAGGCTGTAATCATAGCGGGAGTCCAAACCAAGTCTGTCTAGACTGCTCATGTATTGAACTGGAAACTTGAGCTGTTTTGTAAGCATCCTAACATAACAGCGTCTGTAAATGAAGGACACGCATCAATAGATGAGCTTATGTTCTTTTTATAGCCATGTCTGTATCTAAAGCTGTGTTTCCATTACAAGTGTGTGGAAAACCTTCCTGTCTGTAGTTACATCCGGTTGTCGATCACGTGACTCGTGTGACGCGAAAAAAGTGTTTTCGTTGCAGTTTTGTTTTTTTTTTTGATACAGCCAAAAAAAAAACATCTCAAAAACCTTTCATTGAAAAACATGGGTTCTTTGTTGATTTGCGCGATTTTACGGTCAGTGGAGACGCAGCTTGCGTCCCAGTAGTCGTCATGTAATGTCATAAACTTGGCTTGTCAGTTCCAGAAATGTATTATTATAATTCACTTTCTCAGTTTTATTATGAAACATGCCGGATATGACGCAGTGTCAGTCGTTATTGAATAAAAATTAGGTTAAAGTAAAAGCATTTGGGAAAATTTAAAGACGCCTCCAAAACCCCTAAATATGTTAAAAAATGTGACAAATGAGCAGGTTTTCATGACAGCACGACTCAGATCAAATCTGGGGGATTCTGATATGTTCCTTGTCCCAAATTGACTAAAAGTCTCTCCAGCAGGTTGGAGACCTGGAAAAATAAACTTTTAAAGGTGAAACTACACATGTATTTTGATGAGACGCCCAAAACCATTCAATTCCTGTTAATGTGAGGCGGCGGCGGCTTTCCTCGATTCTCTCTTGACAAAAAGAAACAACAATAAAGTTTCCATTTCAGGTTCAGCTCTAACTTCAGCAGACCAGAGCAGAGCAGCGTCGGCATCGCCCGAGTCCACCTGTCCGTCTCATGCCATCAATCATGAACAAGACAACAAGGTAGCTGGACTCTTGCTGGAGGCAGAAACTGAACCCAGGCCTGGAGGGGGAAGTCCATCTTTCCCCGGTTCGGAACCGAGTCCTCCGACTGACTTTTAGGAAATTAGATACTGGTAGCAATGGGGTGGAGAAAAATGCATTTTAAAAAACAGGCAACGGTCGATTGCATATTTCAACATAACTTTTGTTAAAATTATTGAAAGGCAGCACTGGCTGCAGGGAAGACTCTGGATGGTTTTGTTTTGCACATTTAGAGCCGTCGATACTTCCTCTTCGGCTTCAGTAAATACTTGAAGGTTTGACAATACCTCTTTTCCTGTTACTTGCAACAAACTGATAACCAGCAAAGCAAAGAAAAGCCCAAAGACGGACATCA